TAATATTTCTTTTTCTGTGTTTTTTTTTTCATCAGGCAGACCAGAATCGGGTTAGCAGGAATCAGGTTCCTCTGTATCGCGTGCAGGGAAGGTTCGAAAGGATAAATCAGCATCCGGTTAAGTTTTAGCAGCTTAAATAAATTTTCGCACTCTCGGAAATTCTTGTTACCGAATGACTAATAATATATATGTGTATATATATATATTATGTTTTTCCGGAATATGCAGAATGCAGGAAGTCATGCGTTTTCCATAGGGATCACAGAAATTCTCAACACAAACCTTTTGATCGAACTAAGAGCTGACGACATAGATTACGTCTACCAAAGGTTTAATCTTAAGTTTTCGCAATTTATTTGTTTCTTTTTTGAGATAGCATTTAGTGATCATGAGTTATGAAGGTCTCAAATCTTTTCGCCATTGCCAGGAGCCCGGGGAAAATTTTAGGTATAACTGTACCGACTTTTGAAGCCTTAACACAATTCGGTACTGCAACGATTACAACTAAGAATGTAGGTGAAGTTGAGGCATCTTACAGCCTTACGGTAAGATTTAGCGTTTGAAATGTTTATGAAGATTGCTCGTAAACAAGATAGAACTATAAGTTTTTACATAAAAGTATTCATGTTTGCAGTTTGATTGCTCGTCTGGTGTGAGCCAAATGGAGGTAATGACGAGAAAAAAAGTTGCTAAAAAACCTCGTTTACAAAGCTGCATTTTAACTTCAAGCATGGAAATCATAATTTTTTTTTGGTAGTACAGGAGCAATTTTACATAATGAAGCCGAAAGAAGTATTAACCCGATCGTTCAAACTGTATCCGACGACCGATCAAGCAGCAAGATATGCATGCAAAGGTATTAACTTTTATCTGGGGATATATTCCCGAGCTCGAGCTCGATTTCCAGATATATCGTTGTATGTATATTGCGTACAAATTATGTCTGATTTTTGCAGCAATACTGAAAGACTCGGATTTTGGCGAAGTTGATAGAGCCGAATGCCAGTTTACCACTACAGCTACTGTTCTTGAAAATGGATCACAGGTTTTTATGAAAATTCAATTCAAAAGGTACAAAAACAAAAAGAATGAAGAGTTTTTATCCGGTTAATATCTAACACGAACACAAATTATGTTCGACGCTATTCAGATTCCATTTCAACCTCCAGAGACTAGCGTACATGGCTTTTTCGGCTCGATTAAGGAGATGTGGAGAAGGTTATGGACCAGTTTAGCAGATTTTGTCACCGGAAAGAATTGCAGGTAAATTAAAAAAAAAAAAAAAAAAGATACAATAAATTCAAATCTAGAATGATTTTCTAAAAATAATACATCTCGACAAAATTTTGGCAAAACGAACAGAAGCAAGTGCTCCGGATTTTTCGACTTCAGCTGCCATATACAGTATGTATGCATGAGCTGGATCTTGATGTTCGGTCTGTTTCTAGCGATCTTTCCAACAGGTGCCGTTTTTGTACTCTATGTTCGTATTTTTCCGTAAAAAGAAAAATAACATCACCCATCTTCTTCCTCACGAACTGCAGCTGCATTGCTTATCTGGCTTTTGCACGAAAAGGGGCTTTTCGACCCGATATACGACTGGTGGGAGGATCACGTGTGGACTTTCGAGTCGAAAAATAGAGATTCCGATCTTTCACTCATCCACTTGAAGAGAAGAAAACACAGGCATGAACAAAGGCATCATAATCATAATCATCATCGTCATAAAAAGCACGAAACTCACATGAGGCGGCCATTAGGGGAAGCCGATTACAGCTATTACTTGCACCATGTGAATAAAGATAGGCACAAGCATGCTAAGCACAAGCGCCCGTTTGTATCTGAACGAGCTCACTTGAACAGAGTCGAGTATGAGAAGATGGGGCATCATCACAGGAGAAGAAAAGAACGCCATTTGGTGGGCTCGGGTGAGAGCAGCGTAAACCGAGATGAATATTCGAAGAACAAGAAGTTCGTGCGGGATGATAGATATTGGTAGGGTGTGAAAAAATTGTGATTGTTTATGTGAAATAAGAAAATAGTAATAGTTGAAACTTTTATGTATGAAAAAAACAGATGATAATTACACTTACAAGATGTAAGTTATTGTGAGTATGATATCAATTTTATAGATTGAACCAATTAAACTTCTCTTGTGGTCAATGAGAGAACACAATTGGCGATCAAGCTCCTTAGATCGGTCGCAAATTAATCTCTTGACAAGACATGGTGGTCCGATTAATTTTTCGCGCATAAATAAGATTTAACCTCTAAATTTCAAAGGGTTTGTATTTTACTATAGAATAGATATAGATAGATAGATAGATGTAACTTGAAAAATGTAGATCCCTTGAGAGGGAGTTGGACATAAATTTGAGCAAAGCTAATGCATAGTAAATTCATAGTCCGGGGCTTTCTACAAGGTTAAAGAATCCTCTGCATAAGGAACTCTAAAGTGTTCTACAAGTCAAATTTGGGGACAAAAACGAGCCAAGTCGGAAACGACCAAGCTGCTGACTCATACATTTAACGAATGTTGACCGCATTTAACAAAGAATATATTTTATCGATAGTTAGGAAGTTCGAGAGCATCTTGTAGAGGAGTCTGTGGAAACTTGGTGCATTTGTGCTGCCATTAAAGTAGATTTCGCAGAATAAGCCAATCTTTGGTCCTTTTCTTGAATCCTTTCTCTAAAGCAGCAAAGCATTTCAATCTTTTTTATTATAACACAGTTTTCTTATTTTCCTATCATGATTGAGCATTGTACTCACACTCTCAACCACCAGACTAATCTGCATGGATGGATACACAAACGAATTACGATTAAATAAAATATTCAGATCACAGCCAAGAGGGGATCTGAGCTTATAAATTCAAGTAAGATCATTAATGATTTTGTGCTTTGTAAAATGCATTCCCCCGAAAGTTAAACACACTTTTGTGTTTTGATTCCTATTAAATACCATTTGCTAATTGGAGAAGTATATCAGTCGTATTAATCCTAAAGATTTAATATAAAACACCAGAAAAGTGCATAATTTTTCAATGAAAAATAAAAATTTGCATTCCCAGTTAGGATGTTTAGTAAAGCTCTCAAACCATCAACAGCTAAAATTATTTCTGAATTATACTGTTCGTCAAATTTGACAACTCATCTCATGAATATTGTCATATATGATATTATAGTGTCCGGTTTTAATTTCCTGAATTATACTGTTCGATTTTAATTTCCTTCTGGCAGTATTATGAATATTGTCATGTATGATAGTTTAGGGAGATTTATGGTAAAAATAAAGATACACAGAGAAGGATATGATTTTAGCATTGAAGAGATTGCTAAGTGAACAAAGACCAAAAATCATATAAGGGCCAATGATTTAGCCTTATAGCTAAAGGCAAAATCATGAATAGGATGTTCACGTGTATTCTATTGATTCTCCCTATCATTTATGCTATACATCAGAGTCACATTTGAGCTTACCCTTATTCGTTTATTAAACGAACGCAAACCCAAACATGGTTACTCATCTCGAATGGAATGGTATTCGTTTATGTGATTATTAGATATATTTTTACAAGGCACAAATATTAAAAAAAAAACATTGATGAAAGTGAATTAGCAGGTGCAAACTATACAAATATTTGATATTTGAAAAGCCAAATTCACATGCAAGTAAATGAGAGGATAAAAGTAAACATACATAAAATACCCATGAAAAAAAATAAATAAAAGAAAAATCACGTTGAACATTTGTGATGAAAATACAAATCATCCATAAGCTATCAAGATAGATGAGTAAAATAATAGAGGATAAATGTAATATGAAATATATAGTTATGTACATTAAACACTATAGAGCAAAAGAGATTTGAAGAGCCACATAAATCTAGCAAAATCTCATTAGGGGGGTGTATTAATTTAAGATTCTAAATTACTTTTTAAGATTTTACTAAGAATGAGATTTTGTGGGATTTTATTAATTCTCATGGATTCTCATGAATTCTATAGGATTTATTAGAAATCCACCATAAATTCTATAGGATTTATTAGAAATCCACAAAAGTTATATCTAGTATTCTTCAAGACTTCTATAGATTTCATCATACTTTTCAAAAGTTTTATAGATATTTCTTTCTTTTTTTGTTTTTGCATTCAATAAAAATCAACATTGATATGTAGATATATCGTTGTGAGAATTTATGAAAAATTTATATAAATTAATTCGAACATGAAGTAATGTGAATTTTTATTTTTACATTTTTTTTATTTATCTTTGTACAAATATTAAGTCAACTACCTTATAAATATTAAAGTAATGAATATAGGAATGCAACATAGAATTGGGTCAACCATTAAAAAATTTCCAAGGACTATATCCATCAGACTATATTCATCAGAAAACAATGTAAGCTAATGGCCATAAAAAAATATTTTATGAAAATAAGTATTAAAAAAATCCTTCAATCCAAACAAACATATGCGGAACAAATATAATTTTAACAAGATCATAAAATTTACTCATCAATAGAAAAGATGTTTGTACTAGAGCAACAAAATAATGGTTTTCTCCTACAAAACAAAAGATGAACAAAGAAGAAGAAGAGATGAGGAATATGAATAATTCTCCAACTTGCAAACGGATTTTTAAGATCTATGTTAATTATTCAATTGCAAATAAATTTGGTTCTAGCCTAATTTTTTTTCTTTATTTTTTCCCTCAAAAATATACATATCCATTTTAATTATTAAATTTGAATGCAATTTTTTTCAATATGAAAGGATGCCACAAAAGATTAGTTCAATATTTTTTAATGATCACACAATATTAAGTGAGGTGTATGTGTTTGAGAATCAGATAAAACGTGTATATGTTTTTTATGTGTTTAATATATATATATATATATATATTTGATATAATTATGCGATGTCAAGAAGAAGAAGAAGAAGAAGAAGAAGAAGAAGAAGAAGAAAAAGAAGAAGAGACGATGGACCTTGTAAAAACTCTTCATAGTCCATAAAAATCCTTCACAATCCCACGTCTTGATGTGAGATTTGTAATGAGATTTGGTACATATATTTTCTCCTTAATATCCTAGCAAATCCAAGAAAATACAAATCCCCAAAAGTTTAAAAGGATATGAATACCTTGTGATTTCATGGGGCTTTAAAAAATCTCAATTCAATACCTCTAGAATTTTGAAGACTTTTAAAAAGTCATTTAAAAACCTAATTAAACACCTCTAGACTTTCTAAAATTTTAAAAAGTTCCATTAAATACAACAAGATTTCACAAATCCTAAAAAGTCTTTAAAAGTCTTAAACTAATACACCCTCCTTAGTTTAATGGGATTTCTAATATGACCTTGTTTTTCTAGTTAAAAAAGTCTCCAAAAGTTTTTCAATTTAAAAAGCCCCGTAAAGTCTTCATACTTTAAATATATGGGTGATTTGTATAGACTCGTATAAGGTTTTAATTGAATGACTTGAGATTTTTTAGAGACTTATATAAAGTTTTTAGAAGTATCAACTGAATACATGAAAACTTTCTAAAACTTTCAAAAAATTTAAATTGAATACAAAAAAATTAGAAGTCTTAAGAATTTCGAATTGAATACACCATCTTAGAAATTACGTGAAGTTTGAGTTCAACTCGGTTCGTTAGTCTTAAGCCTTAAGCAATCTCGAGCCCGGCTTGCTATGCTTGAAAACTAAGGGGATTTACATATTTTTTAAAATTATAGCATAATTAGGTTTGTTAAGACCCATTAACGAGTCGAATTCGAGTTTGTTTATAAGTTCCTTAACGTACGTCGACTCGATAAAGGCTCGAACTAAAATTAAAGTATCAAAGTTTTGAGTTGGGCTCGATTGAATTTACAACTATATATGTGTGACAATGAATACCTAGATTCAGTTCATTTATAGTAAAATATGGCATAAAATATAAACTCAACTTGTTAAGACTTGAATGACACGCTCGATTTCATTCATAGATTCGTTTAATTAATGACCTGGGCTCGAAATCCATTAGCTCGACTTCGCGTGTACGCCCTACCCTAGATAGGAACTTAGGGTATACATTCTAAAAAATCTAAATCTAATATATATATAAAATAAAAGAAGAATAAAGTAAAACAAAATTATATGGAAAATACTAGAGATGCCAAAAGTACAGCTCAATCCTAAACATTTGGATGTTGGATCATATATATATTCCAAAGATTTTCTCAAATTTCATATGCACACCAATATTAATCATACAAAAACTCTTATTCAAATAATTAACATTAATAGTGGAGAAAGCTAATTTTACATCTTTATTTTGGAAAAATTACAAGAACAATCGAGAGCAAACATGGCGACGCCTGATCAGGAAGCAATCGACACGTTCATGAACATCACGGGCGTCGATGAGGCCACTGCCATACGGAAGCTTGAGGTAGTTTTTTTCAGTGTGAAAAAACCCGATAATTCAATGCTTGTCATCGTTATTATGTATTTGATGCTTGTATTTTCTTGTCTATTAGTTAAAAGTTGTTTCAGTTGAGTTTTCACCGGCAGTGTGCGGTGTACGTTGACTGTGAGGCTTCGTGAATGTTTGAGTGGTTTACAGGAGCTAGGGTTTTTCTGTGTTCCGATTTCTTTTGTGAGAATGATGGTATTTGGATTTTTGTGGGTTCAGAAAAATCGACGTGCTTGCTTTGTATGGGTGGGGTGGTTGTTCCGGTTGAGATTGGGATTGGACTGAAATGGGTTTTGAGTTTTGTGTGTACAATTGATTGATGTCCAGTTTGTTCATCTCCGAAGTGAATGTAATCTACTTTTGTTTGTTGTTCCAATATAGTTGGTGAACTTTAGTATCTTTTATTGAACTTTGAGGTGAAATTTGTTAATAGATTTTTGCTACTCTGTGAATTCATGGAGCGATTCCGACTTGGTGACTTGATTTTGGGTACTTATGTATATATCAAATGGCCCCATTAGTATCTTACGGTGTCTTTGGTAGATCAATATCAAAATGTGTAAATTACATGTGAGATGTCTTTTGTTGGAGGATCGGTAATAACTCTCCTTAAATGACTATATTCTGTAACATTGATCCTTTGTTACCCATTCATCAACATCGCCGGCGTTAATGAAGCCACCGCCATATGGAAGCTTGAGGTAGCTTTTTTAGTGTGAATGGACTCGTCAATTCAATGCCTTAATCGTTGTTATTGTACTTGATTTTTTTCCTGGATTTCGCTAGTCGAAGTGTTTCAGTTGATTTTCACTGGCAGTATGCGGTGTATGTTAATTGCAAGGGGGCTTCGTGAATGTTTGAGTGGTTGCGGGAGCTAGGGTTTTTCTGTGTTCCAATTTCTTTTTATGAGAATGGTGGTATTTGAACTTTTGTGGAGTTCAGAAAAATTGACGTGCTTTCGTTGTATGGGTGGTGGCGGTGGCTGAGATTGGAGCTTATTGGACTGAAATTGATGTTGTGTTTGCAATTGATCGATACCGATTCTTTTGGTTTATCTCGGAAGTGAATGGAATTTAGTTTTGTTTGTTGTTCCAATTTAGTTAGTGAGCTTCAGTATCTTTTAAGGGACTTTGAGGTGAAAGTCATAGTTTGCTATATTTTTGCTACTATGTGAATTTATGGAACGAGTCTGATTTTGTGATTTGATTTTGGGTACTTATGTGTATATCAAATGGCCCCATTAGTATATTATGGTGTCTTTGGTGGATCTATGTCCAAATTTGTAAATTACACGTGCGCTTTTTTTTGTTGGAAGGTCTATAATAAGTGATAACTTCCCTTAAACCACTAGATTCTGTAACATTCTTCCATTATTACTCATTTTATTTGGTCACTTTGTCCCATCACCTGCACGTTCCTCCCAGAGTCACTATTGCAGGATAAGTGATTTCTTTTAGGCAATTATTTTTCCATCCTAGAATATACTCCTTTGATGTTGTGTACCTTTTAAAAATCTTCACATGTTCTTGTATCTGTTTATCTTTAGCTGTATCTGTTGCTTGACGAGTTTTATGGTTCCATGAAAAATCATTGTTTACAAGTTAGCAAATATGGTCGCGAAGAAAATGTTTTATGTTATCTTTTATTCTGTTGCCGTTCACTTGAAGTTTTAGTGTTGTTTAATTAATTTCCCTTATTCTCTATAAGAGCTTTCAAGATTTGGAGGGAGGAATCTTACTATTCTGACTTTAGCCTCTGTAAATTCTAACTTTGTGATCATATTTGGTTGAGCAGGATCACCATGGCAATTTGAATGCAGCTGTGAATGCGCATTTTGGTGAAGGGGATCAGAACCTGTTAGTGTTTGCTGCTTTCTTATATATTTTGGTTATTAGCGTGAGCCTTAGGGACAGCATAAACTAAACCTTTTATTAATTTTGAATCTTAATGTCATGTGATACATGTTTTTCTTTCTTCTGCATGTAGAACTCAAGAGGCATCTTTCGCTGCTCCTCAAGATGATGATATGGACATAGATGATCCACAACCGTTCGAGTCCCGCAGACCTATTTCTTCACCATTCCCATTTGCAAGAGATTTGAACCCTTTCTCTCTCCTGGATCCCAACTTCACCAGAAATATATTTGGTATTGGTAGTGCTCCAACTCCATCACCTTTTGTCTCACACCCAAGAGAGGTGAGGGAAATCCCGATTGAGGTGAAAGACGGGATTGGAGCATCCAGTCAATCTGGTGGTGCTCTCAGGATTGAAGATGTAACTGAAACTACGCGTGAACATGGCCCTGAGATTCGTGGCACAGTTATAATTGATGATGAAGACGATGAAAGAAGTTCATCGAATTCGCCAATCACACAAGCTGTTGGGCATGGGACTGGAGGCACCTCCACTAATTATAGACCAAGTGCTCCCACTGTTATTGATGTGCCTGACTATGGAGATGAAATAGAAGAAGAAATGATACGAGCTGCTATTGAGGCTTCCAAGCAGGGTGTTACAGCGCCAAATCAGTTATTTGACGATCATCTTGTATGAAACATATTTATAAAGTATGCGCGTTGCTAAAAGTACTCTGTATATTTTAAATATTGATGTTCATCATTGTTATGATACAGGGTGCCGGGGATCCCTCTTCTCAGCAAGGAGGACAGTCTCACCAAGAAGATGCTGAGCTTGCACGTGCCGTTTCATTGTCATTGCAGGTGTTCTTCTACTGTCTAATTTTATTTATTTATTTATTTATTTTTTCTAGCAATATCTGCTCCAGTTAACACAAATTTGAATTTAGACTGCAGAGCGGGAAAAAGCGCTTAGAGAACTGGAAGGGAAGAGTGGAGACTCAGAAGTAGGTCTGATACCTGCTTCAGAGGAGTCGGTTAGAATACTTTCGAATGGAAGGTTAGTCATATCTGTCATCAGTATTGGTTCATGGACTACGGTCTTCATGAGTGTCTCAATGTGCTCAAATTCATCTTCAAACTGTTCTTTCCCTGCAGGCGATCTCAGTTGGAGCATGGAGGCACATCATTCCAAGATAAAGCTGAAGATGCAGATGATCTGACACTGGGTAGACATAGGAGGAGGCGTGTGTCTTCAGGTCATCTCGACACTGCCAATAACGTAGAAGTTGTTGAGGTCAGCCCACCTTCAAGTCCTCCACAGCATGATCATTTTCATGATCCACAGCGTGATAGAAGTGATTTCCCCTCCAATGAGGTGATTCTTGGGTTGATATTTGTTAATTCCTCTCAATGTTTATATGTGATTTTGAAAGAATGAAGTTTATTCTTTGGCAAATACTGAACTCGGTTNAATTGGGAATAATTATATTTTCTTTTTTATTTGTTCAAAAGTGGGGTGGCATCTCATCAGAGGAACATGATGAAGCTGTAATGCTTGAGGCCGCAATTATGGGTATCCCATACGCACCTCACCAGCTTATGAGAAATGGTTTAGGTACGGCAGTGGATAACTACCCCAGGCCTATGCCTCGTCCGCCATCACCTTCTCTTACTGCTCAGCGACTAATACGAGAACAACAGGTTTACTTTTTGACCTCTAGCTAAATTTCCACTTTGCCTGGGTTTTACCAACCTGTACGTTTATGCAGGATGATGAGTATTTTGCTGCATTACAAGCTGACAAAGAAAAAGAACTGAAGGCTAAGGAAGAAGCTGAAGCTGCTCTGGCAGAAGAGAAGCGCAAAGAGGATGAATTGCGCAGAAAACTGCATGAGGAAGAGGTACCTAATTTTGGGATTTTGTTCGGTTCATATACTTATATTCTTCGTCTGGAATGATTTCCATCTTTTCTTCAAGATTTCGGTTCATAGACATATCGTGTTGCATGATCATATACAAATTTATTTTGATTGATTTTGTCTGGATTGTACCCTACCAATTGATGCAGTTGTGATGCTACGCTCTATTTGACGGTGTTTGGTACATCTGGAAACAACTTTGAAAAGTTGGTCTATTTGGGGAACTGAATGCCTTTTTATTGAACTTTTGACATGCTAATTTAACCCAGAGTGTCGAAAATTCTTCCTTGAGTATTTTATAGTGTCAAATAATGCTGCCAAGTTGATTATTTCTCTGTTCTAAGGTCACATGTGTTCCCCCTTTCACTTCCTCTTTTCAGGAAATTGAGAGACAATTAGCTGCAAAAGAAGCTTCTCTTCCTCAGGAGCCAACAGCAGATGATGAGAATGCTGTTACTCTCCTTGTGCGTATGCCGGATGGAAATAGACGAGGGCGCCGCTTTTTGAAGTCAGACAAGCTACAGGTAACCTTTCAAATGAGATGCGCACGAGCATTCCTGTGTTTGCAGATCAATACAGGCCATAAGATCATTTAGTTACACAGTGAAGGACTCTTTCACGAATAAAAAATAAATCGAAGAGGTTCCAATTCTTGTGTTTTCCCTATGGTTTCTAAGTTAAATTTGTCCAATATCAATAACGGTTTTTATCTAGTAATATTTGAAAATTCATTATAAGTTCTCTTTTCTTTTTCAATATTCTAAATCTGCATTCAGTTTCTTGTTGGCGTTATGTTTTGTTTCGTTTTTTATTGAACTGGGGTACATACTCAAATACGTTCGAAAGTGAAAAAACACAATTCGATGATGTACATACATATAAGCTTTCCAGGAACCCTTTGTGTGGGTTTATGTCATGAGAGTTGCTTCTAGCATTTATATGCTCTGATGGTGAGAATCAAACTTATGATGATTCAATACTTCATAAGCTCACATGATTTTTCTGTATTGTTTGACAGTGTCTGTTTGACTTCATTGATGTTGGCAGAACGGTCAAACCTGGCAGTTACCGATTGGTAAAACTTTTAACCATCAAGCTTACTAATTAGTAAAATATTGTTCTTGACATATATCTATTAAAAATGACGGCTATAAGGACAATAAGTGTAGATTGAAAATGAACTATTTTTTGCCTTTGAAACTGTGGATTATTTTTTTGTCAGGTGAGACCATATCCTCGGCGTGCATTTAGTGATGGAGACAGTACCTCATCTCTGCATGATTTGGGTCTAACCAGCAAACAGGAAGCCTTATATCTGGAGTTGATCTAGCTTTTTTTGTAATGCTTATATTGTAAAGTTTTTGAAGGTGCAGGCTTAACTCTTCGTAACTTTAACTAACCTTGAGTTGAGATGCGATATTCGTGATTTGGTTTGTTGCGTTTGGTTGGTTGATATAATGATTTGATTTGGTATTCGTGAAAATTAATCAACTGTGACATTTCAGATCTTACTTCGTACATGCAGTGAATTATGCTTGAATCCGAGCAGTAGTGATGTGGTAATTTTTGTGCTTGGGCTAGTTTTTACCGAGTTCTTGCATCTCTTGCGTTTTTTGCGATTTTTTAGTTTGAACTGTATTCTAATGTTTGGATGAATTAGGATAAGAGTTAAGCATTTTAGAGGAAAGAGCAAAGATTGGTGAAACCTCCAGATTGAGAATGTCGGGGAACCCTTTTTACTCTAAAGTATCAAAAGAATAAAGTGATAAAAACTTTTCGAACGAACTGTTAAAACTCAAAATATAATTATGGATGAAATCGTGTTGTGGCATGATGAAGTTTAATCAATCTAACACTAGCAACTCAATGAATCATAGTGATGTGATATCATACAACACAGCTCTATGCATCGAAGGTCGAGCAGATTACTAATGAACCAGAATAATGTGGCATCATACAACAACTCTATGAATCGAAGTTCGAGGTTACTCGAATGACTTCCTATAAAGAAGTCGATTCAATCTTTAAGAACTCGAGGAAATGTGCGACGACTTAAGAGTTGTACTTGGATGGTTGATTTGAAGGATCGAAATACTACAAAATTTTCAACATCCCATTAAATTTTGAGATCAATATTAAAGTTTTCATCAAATATAGAAAAAACAAATGTCAATTCTAGTGCCGTGCATTTTGTCGAGAGAATAAATTTCAGTTGGATAATATACACTAGTGTAGATTATTATTATTATTGTTATTATTATTATTATTATTATTATTATTATTATCATTATTATTATTATTAGGTATCTTGAAGAATAAATTAGAAATTAAATATTATTATAAGAGATCTTGTCTTGTTGGACAAATTAATTTAGGGTTTTGGGTGTCTTATTTAAAGACTCCTCTTCTTTGTTATCCAGTGGTGGATTATTGAAATGAAATAAGATTGTGAGTTATATCGAGAGAGTATCTCGTTTATCCTTTCCATTCGTACGCTTCCCTACATCAATTGGTACCAGAAGTCAGCACGATTCACGATGCTGTCGCGACGACAAGATGCTGCAAACGACAGGCGTGTCGCCGCCATCTACAACCTGAGCCGCCGGACCGAGTGGTTTGGCCGCCAGCTCGAGACGATGGGTCATGAGATTGCAGATCTGTCCGCGGAGATCGGGGACATACGTCTAACTATCCATACCATGGTTCGGGACAAGCAAACGTACCCTGACGCCGGCAATCGGGGCGTGTGCGGGGGAATTCGCGGAGAAAGTAGAGGCCGTGGTCCAGGCGGGGCGTCCCGCTAGAGATCTCCACAACCACCGTCCGGCGACGAAGACGGTGAGGAGACAGTCTCGGGGTGAATCCCTACTATGATTTTCCAACCCCGCACGTCGAGACTGACCCCTTCGCTGCATACAACGGCCGTGACATGCGGCGACAGGGCCTGGTCTTCGTGGACGGCGACGATCAACGCTATAACAAAGGCAGGCGCGAGGAGGTTGCCTTCGCCGATGGATATCGTGCCCGACACGATTGGGGACTTGATCGCGATTATGGTCGATGGGAGGGGCCGTTTCGCGTTGGCATCTCCGAATTCGACGGAGAGCAAGTTGAGGGGCTATTGTACGATGGTCCGCCTGTGTTTGATGAAGAACCCGAGGAGGTGGAGGAGCGTCTTCTTGGCGAAGTGGACGGTCTCTACGACGGTCCGCCGCTCTTTGATAAGGAGCCTTCAGGGCTGAAGTATGAAGCTGGAACTGCTGCTATCAAAACCGTTGAAGAAGACACGCAGTTATATATGTTGCATCAGTTTCATGAAGGGAAGTGTGAGGTTGCCATTGTTGACGATGGTGCACTTTCCAAGTCGATTCTCGGAAACAAAAAATGTTATTTATTGGATTGTGGTTCCGAAGTATTTGGTTGGGTTGGCCGGGTAACTCAAGTGGAGAAGAGGAAAAGTGTCATTCGCGCAACCGAGGATTTTGTGGCTCGCCAAGGTATCACAGTGCCGTTCAACCTTCCTGTTCGACCGGGGAAAACGACGGGGGTTTCCTACTATGGTTCGACACCACACGCCGGCCACGGGTGCGGATCGGCTTCGAAGGCGAAGCCTTCCGAACCGGGGGAGAATGGTGTAGATTATTATTATTATTATTATTATTATTATTATTATTATTATTATTAGGTATCTTGAAGAATAAATTAGAAATTAAATATTATTATAAAAGATCTTGTCTTGTTGGACAAGTTAGTCTTATTTAAAGACTCATCTTCTTTGTTATCTAGTGGTGGATTATTGAAATGAAATAAGATTGTGAGTTATATCGAGAGAGTATCTCGTTTATCCTTCTCATTCGTACGCTTCCCTACGTCATACACTGATGTAGGTATGTGTATATTAACCCTACAATAAAAAACTCTTAACTCAATGACTAGTTTGTTACTAGAATCAAATGCTCCCAACAGTTAATAATGATTTTTTTAACACTGTGAAAATGTCATGCTAAAGCCAAAACATACTATGATTTTAAAAAACCAACGGTCAAGTCCCCACGAAAGTAAAAAAAGTCTAAGAAAATAAAGTAAAATAAAAAAAGAAAATAAAAATAGAAATAGAAAACAAAAACAGAGAACACGTGCACCAAACGTGCCTGGGACAGAACTCCTCCCAACGGTTATATTTCACCGACAAAGGCCATGAACCCACAACGGTCAAATTCCCGACCTATTCTCCACCGTCCGATTCCCATCCAACGCCCCCAAACCCAGATTCCATTTTTCACCGTGCCATCATTTTATTCTGGTAAGAATCGATAATAACCGCTATATAGAAGAAAAAGTGTGCCCTTTTCTGCTCTGTATAAAATCTTGGTTACATTTTTGGGTCTCATTTCTTTTTGGGTTTGTGGGGTTCTTGATAAGTGACTGACTGGACTACACTGTGCTTGAAAATGATATGATATAAGACAAGTTATGGCAGCCGTTTTTGTTTGTTCCAAGGATTTATGAGCTTATGTTTTTGTGTCTTGAGAATTTTAGAATGGAAGTTTTGTTGAAGCAGCATATGTGTGGGATTGTTGCTGATCATTCATTTTCTGTGTTTTTCAGCTGCAAATTTGAAGAAAGATGCGATTTTTATTGCAGAGGCTTCTTGTTGGGTGGCTTGATCAGAAACCTCGTTTCTTGCAAATGATTTGGGTTTGAAATTTGAGGAATCCGATGGTCTGTGTTTTTTTTCCCTTTTTTTTAGGTAGGTGTTGATAAATGTGTTTTCTTGCCTGAAATTCTATTGAATTCTTTGATTCTTTGTTTTTGTTGGTTGTGTTGGATAGTATACTCAATTCTTTGTATTCTTTGCTGCACATAAGCAAATTGACTGTATACATACATACATATTGTCATCATCATCATATAGGACACACAAGAAAGCATACATTTAGACACACACATATACAGGAAAAGGGCTTTGTTTTGGGTTGTCTTTGTTTCGACATCGGATTCCAGTTTTTCGTTCCTTTTTATATCTTCTTGGGGATTTTTTGTTTCCATTTGAGAAAAAAACCCACACACTCACTCACTTATAGAAAATCATCTGCTTCTGTTTCTCTTGATTTCTCATCATATATACAATTTACTTGAGAAAGTATATGTGAATTCTTTGTTGTAAAGTTTACATTTTTTAGCTTGTGTTAAGAATCATTCCACAAAAGCAAAAACAGAAAAAAAGAAAAAGAAACTGAGAGAATCATAGAGAGAGAGAGAAACACAGGAAAAGGATTTGCAAAGGGTGGTGGGTTTTAGCTGAGTTTTTATTATATATCCAAAGGAAAGAGAAAAAAAAGGAAGGAAGGGGGAAAAAAAATTGGTCACAGGTGTTTGAAGAATGTTGGCCGGTTGTTCGTCGACACTGCTTTCTCCGAGGCATAGATTACGAAGCGAATCATCCGGACAGTTTCAAGCTTGCCACAATATTCCCACAATGAGCACACAGAGACTCGACTTGCCGTGCAGTTTCGTTAGGAAAGACGGGCCGAGGCCTCAGCCCGTCAGGCCCGTTGGCCTTTCGATTGTCGACAAGCCCGTTGATGCCAAGCCCACCGGTTGCTCTCTCTGGCAGAACATCAAACTCCCGCCAACCCCAACCGAAAAAGTTAGTGACTTTTGGGACAAAGGCAGGAGCTCGAAGAAGAGGTATGCAGCTGAAGAAGTCATATTCGACGAAGAGAGCCACACGAACCGAACAGAGAGGAGGAAAAGGGCCCGCGGCTCACCCAAACAAGAACAAGAAGACGAAGAGGGGCATTTGAGGAATTTCGGCTGGTTCCATCCGGGCTCGTGCTCGGTCGACGAAAATCAAGAAGAACTCGTAGTAGCTTCCCCTCTTCCCCCTCTTTCGAGCATCCCGTGGCTCGACTCTACCGCAATCAAATGTCCCGAGTCTCGGGACTCGTCCGGCTCGTCGTCATCCAGCGGTGGTGGTTCCGGCAATAGCAGCCGCCAAATAACCGTTCTCGGGCCGCCGGGCCATAGCTTCTCCGGGCCCAAGCCTGGCAACGCCTCGTCCCCACCCGAGCCCGCCTTTCAGCCGCCACATCACCACAACGGCGGGACCCACAACCACCACCACTCGGACGAGCACGAGTGTGTCGAGCTCGTCAGCCTTCTCGTCTCGTGCGCCGACCAAATCGGGTCGAGAAAAAACCCGGCCGCCGCCGCCACCTGCCTCCTCCGACTCGGCCACCTCGCTTCCCCGCGCGGACCCTCCGCCGTTCACCGCCTCGCCGCATACTTCACCGAAGCTCTCGCTCTCCGAGCCTCTCGACTCTGGCCGCAAGTCTTCCACTTCCCGCCACAACTCGACTGGGCCCACGACGAAAACGAGGCCCTCCGAGTGCTAAACCAAGTGAGCCCAATCCCGCGCTTCGTCCACTTCACGTCGAACGAGATCCTCCTCCGAGCCTTCGAGGGGAAATCTCGAGTCCACGTCATCGACTTCGACGCGGGTCTAGGGTTACAGTTTCCGGGCCTTCTCCAGAGCTTGGTCTCTCGACCCGACCCGCCGACCCACGTCCGGATCACGGGCGTGGGCGGCGGGGGGTCGAAGCAGGAGCTTGTCGAGACGTTCGACAGTCTCGACAAGCTCGCGGCCGAGATGAATCTCCCGTTCGAGCTAAGATTCCACGCGGTCGTCGATCGGTTGGAAGATGTTCGCCGGTGGATGCTCCACGTGAAGGAAGGCGAATCCGTGGCCGTGAGTTGCGTTTTTCAGCTTCACAAATTGCTTTACGATTCGACGGGAGGTTCGATTAGGGATTTCTTGGGAGTTATTCGAAGCACGAATCCCGAGGTGGTGGTTTTAGCCGAGCAAGAAGGGGAGCACGACGGGTCGAGCCTCGAGTCGAGGCTATGCAATGCTCTGAGATACTACGCGGCGATTTTCGACTCGGTGGATGCGAGTTTGCCGTTGGGGAGTGTGGCTCGGGTGAGGGTTGAGGAGATGTTTGGAAGGGGGATTAGGAATATAATTGCGTGCGAGGGTCGGGAGAGGGTGGAGAGGCATCGAGGGTTCGAGAAGTGGAGGGAGGTTATGAGGGGGAGTGGGTTTAGGAGTGTGGGGATTGGGGAAAGGGAGGTGATGCAAGGGGAGATGATGGTGAGGATGTATTCGAGTGGGGAAGGGTTGTTTCGAGTCGAGAGGAAGGAGGAAAATGGGTCGGGTTGTGTTAGGTTGAGTTGGTTGGATCAGCCGCTTTATAGTGTCTCGGGTTGGGTGCCGGAGGATCGGGCGGGTGGGTCGACTTTGGCGAGTTGAAATGTGTGTTTGGTTTTTTAGTTGGGATTTATACGATCGCTCGTTATAGGAGGGAAAAATTTTATATCGAATTCTTTGTAGAGTTTTAGGGAAATTTGTTCGTTCGTTCTTTTGTTTCGATATTTTGAGGTCTGCATGATGATGATATAGCGTATGTTTTTGAAAGTTATACGTGTGGTTTGTCGTGTTCGTTCGAGGGTTCGATTTGTCGGGTTTTTTCTTTTTGATTCTTTGATTCTTTTTATTATATGTTTAAGCTCTGCTGATGGAAATGGTGGTTCTTTAGAGGCATTGTATTGTATTGTTTTGGTTTCAAGATTTCATGTAGTCATATCAGTCATATGTTGTAGTTTTGGAAGATTTGCTCTGGTATATGAAATGGTTATGG